ACACAGTTTGGGATTGGAGACACAGTTCGGGGTGGGAGACACAGTTTGGGATGGGAGACAGTTTGAGATGGGAGACACAGTTTGGGGTGGGAGACACAGTTTGGGGTGGGAGACACAGTTTGGGGTGGGAGACACAGTTTGGGGTGGGGGACACAGTTTGAGGTGCGAGACAGTTTGAGGTGGGAGACACAGTTTGAGATGGGAGACACAGTTTGAGGTGCGAGACAGTTTGAGATGGGAGACAGTTTGAGATGGGAGACAGTTTGAGGTGGGAGACACAGTTTGAGGTGGGAGACACAGTTTGAGGTGGGAGACACAGTTTGAGGTGGGAGACACAGTTTGAGGTGGGAGACACAGTTTGGGGTGGGAGACACAGTTTGGGGTGTGAGACACAGTTTGGGGTGGGAGACACAGTTTGGGGTGTGAGACACAGTTTGGGGTGTGAGACACAGTTTGGGGTGGGAGACACAGTTTGGGGTGGGAGACACAGTTTGGGGTGTGAGACACAGTTTGGGATGGGAGACACAGTTCGGGGTGGGAGACACAGTTTGGGATGGGAGACAGTTTGAGATGGGAGACACAGTTTGGGGTGGGAGACACAGTTTGAGGTGGGAGACATAGTTCGAGGTGGGAGACACAGTTTGGGGTGGGAGACACAGTTTGAGGTGGGAGACACAGTTTGGGGTGGGAGACAGTTTGGAGTGGGAGACACAGTTTGGGGTGGGAGACACAGTTTGGGGTGGGAGACACAGTTTGAGGTGGGAGACAGTTTGGGGTGGGAGACACAGTTTGGGATGGGAGACACAGTTTGGGGTGGGAGACACAGTTTGGGGTGGGAGACACAGTTTGGGGTGGGGAACACAGTTTGAGGTGCGAGACAGTTTGAGGTGGGAGACACAGTTTGAGGTGGGAGACACAGTTTGAGGTGGGAGACACAGTTTGAGATGGGAGACACAGTTTGAGGTGCGAGACAGTTTGAGATGGGAGACAGTTTGAGGTGGGAGACACAGTTTGAGGTGGGAGACACAGTTTGAGGTGGGAGACACAGTTTGGGGTGGGAGACACAGTTTGGGGTGTGAGACACAGTTTGGGGTGTGAGACACAGTTTGGGGTGGGAGACACAGTTTGGGGTGGGAGACACAGTTTGGGGTGTGAGACACAGTTTGGGGTGGGAGACACAGTTTGGGGTGGGAGACAATTTGAGGTGGGAGACACAGTTTGGGGTGGGAGACACAGTTTGAGGTGGGAGACAGTTTGAGATGGGAGACACAGTTTGGGGTGGGAGACACAGTTTGAGGTGGGAGACAGTTCGGGGTGGGAGACACAGTTTGGGATGGGAGACACAGTTTGGGGTGGGAGACACAGTTTGGGATGGGAGACAGTTTGAGATGGGAGACACAGTTTGGGGTGGGAGACACAGTTTGAGGTGGGAGACACAGTTCGAGGTGGGAGACACAGTTTGGGGTGGGAGACACAGTTCGAGGTGGGAGACACAGTTTGGGGTGGGGGACAGTTTGAGGTGGGAGACACAGTTTGGGGTGGGAGACACAGTTTGGGGTGGGAGACACAGTTTGAGGTGGGAGACACAGTTTGGGGTGGGAGACACAGTTCGAGGTGGGAGACACAGTTCGGGGTGGGAGACACAGTTTGGGATGGGAGACAGTTTGAGATGGGAGACACAGTTTGGGTGGGAGACACAGTTTGAGGTGGGAGACACAGTTTGGGGTGGGAGACAGTTTGGAGTGGGAGACACAGTTTGGGGTGGGAGACACAGTTTGGGGTGGGAGACACAGTTCGAGGTGGGAGACACAGTTTGGGGTGGGAGACACAGTTTGGGATGGGAGACACAGTTTGGGGTGGGAGACACAGTTTGGGGTGGGAGACACAGTTTGGGGTGGGGAACACAGTTTGAGGTGCGAGACAGTTTGAGGTGGGAGACACAGTTTGAGGTGGGAGACACAGTTTGAGGTGGGAGACACAGTTTGAGATGGGAGACACAGTTTGAGGTGCGAGACAGTTTGAGATGGGAGACAGTTTGAGGTGGGAGACACAGTTTGAGGTGGGAGACACAGTTTGAGGTGGGAGACACAGTTTGGGGTGGGAGACACAGTTTGGGGTGTGAGACACAGTTTGGGGTGTGAGACACAGTTTGGGGTGGGAGACACAGTTTGGGGTGGGAGACACAGTTTGGGGTGTGAGACACAGTTTGGGGTGGGGGACACAGTTTGGGGTGGGAGACAATTTGAGGTGGGAGACACAGTTTGGGGTGGGAGACACAGTTTGAGGTGGGAGACAGTTTGAGATGGGAGACACAGTTTGGGGTGGGAGACACAGTTTGAGGTGGGAGACAGTTCGGGGTGGGAGACACAGTTTGGGATGGGAGACACAGTTTGGGATGGGAGACACAGTTTGGGATGGGAGACAGTTTGAGATGGGAGACACAGTTTGGGGTGGGAGACACAGTTTGAGGTGGGAGACACAGTTCGAGGTGGGAGACACAGTTTGGGGTGGGAGACACAGTTCGAGGTGGGAGACACAGTTTGGGGTGGGGGACAGTTTGAGGTGGGAGACACAGTTTGGGGTGGGAGACACAGTTTGGGGTGGGAGACACAGTTTGAGGTGGGAGACACAGTTTGGGGTGGGAGACACAGTTCGAGGTGGGAGACACAGTTCGGGGTGGGAGACACAGTTTGGGATGGGAGACAGTTTGAGATGGGAGACACAGTTTGGGTGGGAGACACAGTTTGAGGTGGGAGACATAGTTCGAGGTGGGAGACACAGTTTGGGGTGGGAGACACAGTTTGAGGTGGGAGACACAGTTTGGGGTGGGAGACAGTTTGGAGTGGGAGACACAGTTTGGGGTGGGAGACACAGTTTGGGGTGGGAGACACAGTTTGAGGTGGGAGACAGTTTGGGATGGGAGACACAGTTCGAGGTGGGAGACACAGTTTGGGGTGGGAGACACAGTTTGGGATGGGAGACACAGTTTGGGGTGGGAGACACAGTTTGGGGTGGGAGACACAGTTTGGGGTGGGGGACACAGTTTGAGGTGCGAGACAGTTTGAGGTGGGAGACACAGTTTGAGGTGGGAGACACAGTTTGAGGTGGGAGACACAGTTTGAGATGGGAGACACAGTTTGAGGTGCGAGACAGTTTGAGATGGGAGACAGTTTGAGGTGGGAGACACAGTTTGAGGTGGGAGACACAGTTTGAGGTGGGAGACACAGTTTGGGGTGGGAGACACAGTTTGGGGTGTGAGACACAGTTTGGGGTGTGAGACACAGTTTGGGGTGGGAGACACAGTTTGGGGTGGGAGACACAGTTTGGGGTGTGAGACACAGTTTGGGGTGGGGGACACAGTTTGGGGTGGGAGACAGTTTGAGGTGGGAGACACAGTTTGGGGTGGGAGACACAGTTTGAGGTGGGAGACAGTTTGAGATGGGAGACACAGTTTGGGGTGGGAGACACAGTTTGAGGTGGGAGACAGTTCGGGGTGGGAGACACAGTTTGGGATGGGAGACACAGTTTGGGATGGGAGACACAGTTTGGGATGGGAGACAGTTTGAGATGGGAGACACAGTTTGGGGTGGGAGACACAGTTTGAGGTGGGAGACACAGTTCGAGGTGGGAGACACAGTTTGGGGTGGGAGACACAGTTCGAGGTGGGAGACACAGTTTGGGGTGGGGGACAGTTTGAGGTGGGAGACACAGTTTGGGGTGGGAGACACAGTTTGGGGTGGGAGACACAGTTTGAGGTGGGAGACACAGTTTGGGGTGGGAGACACAGTTCGAGGTGGGAGACACAGTTTGAGGTGGGAGACACAGTTTGGGGTGGGAGACACAGTTTGGGGTGTGAGACACAGTTTGGGGTGGGAGACACAGTTTGGGGTGGAAGACACAGTTTGGGGTGGGGGACACAGTTTGGGGTGGGAGACAGTTTGGGGTGGGAGACACAGTTTGGGGTGGGAGACACAGTTTGGGGTGTGAGACACAGTTTGGGGTGGGAGGCACAGTTTGGGGTGGGGGACACAGTTTGGGGTGGGAGACAGTTTGAGGTGGGAGACACAGTTTGGGGTGGGAGACACAGTTTTGGGTGGGAGACACAGTTTGGGATGGGAGACAGTTTGGGGTGGGGGACACAGTTTGGGGTGGGAGACACAGTTTGGGGTGGGAGACACAGTTCGAGGTGGGAGACACAGTTTGGGGTGGGAGACAGTTTGAGGTGGGAGACACAGTTTGGGGTGGGAGACACAGTTTGGGGTGGGGGACACAGTTTGGGGTGGGAGACACAGTTTGGGGTGGGAGACACAGTTTGGGGTGTGAGACACAGTTTGGGGTGTGAGACACAGTTTGGGGTGGGGGACACAGTTTTGGATGGGAGACACAGTTTGAGGTGGGAGACACAGTTTGGGGTGGGAGACACAGTTTGGGGTGGGAGACACAGTTTGGGGTGGGAGACACAGTTTGAGGTGCGAGACAGTTTGAGATGGGAGACACAGTTTGGGGTGGGAGACACAGTTTGAGGTGGGAGACACAGTTTGGGGTGGGAGACACAGTTTGGAGTGGGAGACACAGTTTGAGATGGGAGACACAGTTTGAGATGGGAGAGACTGTTTGAGATGGGAGAGACTGTTTGATTTGGATGGAAGACACTGACATCTGACAGGTGCTGCACGAGGAGTGAGAGCTCAATGTGGCTGTGTGCGTGTGATGGGTGTGGTGATGCGAACCCATCCCTCATTCGCGTAAGGGGCAAGTGGATGAATCGCACAGAGCGTCCCCAACCGTTGTCAATGGGATTACATCACAGCAAGTAGGTTGCTGAGCTGTCCGTACGGACTGCAGTGATTCATGCAGCCGTATTGGTTCCTCCCACGCGGCGCTGTCACGGCCGGTTACAACACTCGCCTCTCGCACACACCACACGTGACCACGATGATGATGATGATGCCGGCCTTTGTGACCGTGTACGTGTGTGCGTGCGCGTGTGTGCTCCGCAGGACTTTTCCGTGAGTACCACTTGACACCCACTCCCTAGAGTCGCGCACGTTTGGGTCGAGTCGTCGCGGCGAGCGCGGGTCGAGCCCACCGGACGATGAGGACGAGGAGGAGGAGGAGGAGGCGGCGGCGGCAACGCCACCACTGCCCCACCGAGACGCTGACGCCCGCTCGACGCACGCCCCTTCTCGGCTGTGCATTCAGCGGGTTGTATATCAGCAGCATGTCAAGCAGGGTGGCACAGTGCTGATACGCGACCTTGGTTCGATGCTCGACTAGGATGCCTCTCTCTGTGTGGAGCTTAAACGTTCCTCCCACTGTTCTACGGAGTGTGTGGGGAGTGAGTGGGGAGCAGGAGTGCCGCGGTTAGGATGCTGCGCTATGAATCCGAGTTCCCGATCAAGGCCAACGCCAGTGACGGTTATCTGAACCGGTTCTGGGCCTGCTCTATGTCAACTCGGCCTTCAATGAGCACCTGTTGCGGTGTGTTGTAAACATCGCCACTCAGGAGACAAAGGTGGCCGGGCATGGTGCTGGCCACCCACCCCTTCTAGTGTGCCATGCCGGCCTTCATAGGTGCTCCTTAACAGCAATAGCCCTAACGGTCGGTTAAGGCTATAGGAGGGATCTTTGGAGTTTGAACTATGCTGGCCTTAATAGGTGCTCGCTAACAGCTATTTCCCCGTCAGCCTGTGTAGGCGTACACACATGCGTGATGTTGTGTGTGAGTGTCGAGGCGTGGCTGTGAGGATGAGTGGAGGAGGCATCGTGTCCTTGGCTGTTGAACCAGACAAACCGGTTTCCCTATGACCCACGAGCACGTGTCCTGCTGCAACACATACCAGCAGCTCGCGTCCTCGGCACCCGGCCACTCACCAACACCCGGTACCACCAAAGATTCCCCGTGTAGCCTTAACAGACTGTCGGAGCAACTACTGCTGTGAAGGCCGGACACCTGGCACGGTGCGGCGCGCGACGCGGTGGGTGGCCAGCACCACGCCCGTCAGCCTTCCCTAGCGGCGATGTTTTTACACACCGCACCAGGTACTCATTTGAGGCTGAGTCGACCTACGGGAGGCCCAGGACCGGTTCAGATAATTGTCACTGGTGCTGGCGGTGAGCGGGAATCGAACTTGGGTCTCCGGGTTCGTATCGCGGTGCGATAACCACTCCGCTAACCGCTCCCCATACAGCCACCCTACACACACCTGGCTAGACGCACACGCATCCATCATGAGGAAGAGGCTGAACAGGCGAGATGCTACCTCCACTCTCCCATGCCTACATTCCTCACGTGCCCCTACAAAGACAAATATTTCCCATGTAGCATTTGCAGGCTGTTAAGGCAAGTCCTATTTGCGAGCACCATTTGAGGCCAGTGCAGTGCACGAGGGTGTGGGTGGCCAGTTCCATGCCCAGCCACCTTTGTCTCCCCGATACTGATGTTCTACACACTGCACCAAATACTAATTTAAGGGAGGGTGGGGATTCAGGACCGATTCAGATATTCGTCACCGATGTTGGCAGTGAGCGGGTATCGAACTCGGGTTTATTGCTTGGTGCACTACCCGTTGAGCCGCCACGCCCTTAAGCAAAGACAGACACACCTTTACGACCGACGCACACGGGCGTTTCCAATTCACCTTTAACAGCAGTAAACTGTGGCATGTATGATGCATAGTCATCACAAAGTGAAATGGAGAAACGTGAACGGCATTTAAAGTAGATTTGCCCCCATGTCATTAAGCCAGTGCTCCCAAGTGCATCAATCCTAGCCCTATACGTTGGTGACTTTAACAGCCACCGTACTATGTTGGGGCTATGCAGTAGATCAGGCCGACGGCGAAAACCTCACCGACTGGATGTCTGCCGAAGATCTGCACCTGGTTTTTGATCCCAAAAAGCAAAGTAACTTTCCACTCAGCTGCGCAACACGACTTCAAGCCGGACCTCGACATTCAAACGTCAAAGTGGGGACCATGCTTCACGCATCCTGCAAAATACTCCCAAGCTTTGCCAAAAGTCAACACAGGCCCTATCATCACCCACATCGGTATCGAAATCCCCGTGATTGTGTCAAAACCATTACCAAAGCTGACTGTGACCACTATAAGGAGGCTGTAGAAAGAGAGTGGTGAGTTGAATTCCCGCGACGCCGGAATGTTATCACCGTCTTGTTAGCCTCCTTATTGCACCTGCTAAGAAGAGCATCCCTGATGCTTTAGGAAAGAATACACTCCCTGCTGGACAAAAGAGACACAGCACCTGCTCAGAAAGGCCTTACTAGAGTCTAGACTCGGCCAGACGTCAGCGGTGGATTGAGTGCATTGAAGGCCTGGATTGAACGCACCCCGACCACCATGCCTGGGCCCTACTACGACATCTGGGTGCTGCTAACACAACAGAATACAGGACTGCAAGAGTCCTGCCCAACTTTATAGCCTCCAAACTCGTGGAGAACACAAACGGACCGCTTGACAAAAACATCAAGCGAGATATCCATCGCCAATTACACCACGCATTGACCTCAATTTGTTTACAAGACCCCACCACCATCAGCACAGAGGAAGTGTGGGAGGGTCTGGCTGAAATGAAGAAAGGGAAGGCTGCTGTCAGAAATGGTATTCCCCAGAATGTCTCCATCACTTAGGCCCTACGGGACTGCCAATGGCTGGCAAACCTGTACCTCAAAACCATGAAAACCGGATGCAATTCCCAAACCATTGTGGGAGGCAATGGTAATTGCAATACCCAAACCGGACAAGCCAATTGATAACCCGGCAAGCTATAGGCCGATATTACTCCTATGCATGACCTGTAAGCTCCTGGAACGCATCATCAGGAGAACTGGCCCGCTCAATGAGACGGTGATCCCTGAAGAACAATCGGGATTCTGGCCCAGACACAGCTGCTGTGACCATGTTTTGGCCCTTGCGGCGCACAGAGTCCAGATTCTATAATAAATCTAAGACCGGCGCAGCTTTTGTGGACTTGTCATCCACCTATGACACAGTCTAGATTAAGGGCTTGATGTTGAAGCGTGCAAGGACCATTCCCTGCCTCTAAACAATCAGCATGATATGGATGATTCTGAGCAATAGGCAACTGTGTGTTTTCATGGACGACAAAGCTAGCTCACCCCGGTTTCTTAACAATAGATTACCACAAGGTTCAGTACACACGTCAACACTCTTCGATGTCTATACGAGCGACATGCCGACAGCTGGATCATGCAAATTTGAATATGCGGCTGACCTTGCCTTGCCAACGCAAGCAGCACTTTCGGCGACATCATTGAATCTACTGTGAACCGAGACCAAAACACCATCGGGGGAGCATTTTCGGAAATAGAAGCTCAAGCCAAATCCCGACAAAACAACAGCTACTGCATTTCATCTCGCTAATCGGAGTACCAAGCGCACTCTGAAAGTGACCTGCGGCAACACTGTGCGACACGACCCCACACCAACCTATCTTGGAGTGAAGCTGGACTGTACGCCAACCTTCCATGACCACCTGAAAAAAGTAGCCGCCAAGACCCCGAGTGTCACGACGTCATTTAGCAGCAAATGGTGGCTGGCGCTGCTCTTCATCGGCTGCTCTCGTGCGTCTGCCAGGCGCCATCTTAGTGGAAAGATGGCATCGTTCTGTCTTCGTAATGAGGGAAAACGTTCTCGCACTGATTACGTCCGTTACCATCCGATCTCCCCTCCGTCCACGCCTGGGAAGGTCCTTGCCCACACACTGCCGGGCAAGGCTCACCCCACCTCTCCATACGCTGACATCCACAACAGTTGGGATTCACCGCCGACTGCTCCTCGATGGATGTGCTTGCCCCTACGCCTGTTGTCGGGAGTCGCGCCGTGAGTAGGATCGCCCGTCGCATGGAGATTCTGTCTAAAGAACTGCTCTGGTTCGCACCGAAGAAGGGGGCACATGTCCCAGAGCCCCTTCTGGACTTTATTAGGAAGCTGCGCATGTGAACAAGGAGGGGGGGGGGGGGGGGGGGGGCTCTCGTTCGCAGTGGCTCCAACCCATCGCCACACTTCAGCGCCATATCCGGCGTTCGTCAAGGCTGCATTCTCACCCCTGGTCTCTTTTGTCATGGAATTGACTGGCTCCTGGGGTCTCCCGCTCTTCGAATCTGGGGGGGGGGGGGGGGGGGGGGGTGATGACCAGTATTTTATGCAGATGATGCTGCATTGTTTGCATTTGCCCATATGGCACCCAGCTGACTCGCCAGCATTTTGAGGACCTCGGAGTCGATCCCCCTGAACCATACCTCGGTGTATTCACCAACAGCATGGAGGGCGCTGAGGACCTCTTATACTTGGGTTCCGAATTGCCCTCCGACAGTCGTTGTCGGCGTGACATCCTCTGCTTGTTCGGCACTGCGGTGTCGAGGATGAAGCCGTTGGACCACATTCGAGCACAGCGACGGACACAGACGAGGGCTTACCAAGCGTGCGCCATACCTACCTTGCCGTATGGTGCCGAGACTCAGCCCATTGCACAATCCGACTCCCAATGGGCCGCGGGTGATCCCCATGTGCTGCCCACTGACGACTGCTCGGCGCCACGTGGCTTGACCTGCAATTCGGGAGATTTCCAGCAGGGGAGCGGCTTTGCCCTTTGCTGGCAGCGTCGTTCGCTCAGGGCGCACGCGACAGCTTGGTCGTGTCGCGAAAGCGGGCGAAGACACGGGGGCAAACGGCACCTTGCGGCATCGCCACGTGGGCCAGGGGCGGGTCTCCGTCCATTCCCTCCGTGGCATCGTGCCATTGGACGGCCCAGGGGTGCGTGCGTGCGTGCGACAGATTCGCCGGGACGCCGGCTCGGAACTCGCGGCCTACAGCGGTGCCGACGTCGCCCGAGGTCGCCCAACGGTTCTGGTTGACTTGGCGACCCAGACCACAACCGCTCGAAACCTGGCGTCGTACTACACGCGTGTCACGAGACGCCTCCTGCTGCTGCGCATGTGTGCAAGGGCAGGAGTTTTGTTTTATTATAATACAGTGGTTATAAACTACACGCGCACTAACAAATCGATCGCGACCACACTCCAGCAAATGAAAGATTGGGTGCAGCCTTCGCTCAGGCCTCAGTGCCTCCAGTCTAATTTTCAGAAAACACCTCCTCTATGTCGCTGTGAATGACGTGGGTGAAAGCGTGCGTCACCTTGTCCGACTCTCCCCTTCAAGCAATCTCGTGGTAGCGATGCCAAGTAAAGAGAAACAACGAATGTTGTCGTCGTTGGTACGTGGACACTGCTGTTGTTTGTTCTTATTCATTGCTGCTGCTGTTGTTTGCTCTCGCGCTTGTCATCATTTTCCGCTGGTGTCGTCGTTGCTCTCTGTCATCGCTGTCGTCGTCGTCGTCGTCACCGCTGTTTCTCGTCGTTCTGTTTCTCCGCGACGCAGTTGGACGACGCCTTGGATGACTCCCCAAGCGCCGCAGTCAACCAGAAGCCGGAGCAACATGGCCCCGGCATGCAACCCGGGGGGTTCCCCGCCGGGGGATTTCCCGCCGGGGGATTCCCCGCCGGGGGGTTCCCCGCCGGGGGGTTCCCCGCCGGGGGGTTCCCCGCCGGGGGATTCCCCGCCGGGGGATTCCCTGCCGGGGGATTCCCCGCTGGGGGATTCCCTGCCGGGGGATTCCCCGCCGGGGGATTCCCCCCACAAGCCGGTGGGTTCCCCCCACAAGCCGGTGGGTTCCCCCCACAAGCCGGTGGGTTCCCCGGACCCTTCCCGGCTCCCGGAGGCTCAGCTCCAATTCCAGCTCAGAATGTGCTGGTGAGTGATTGAGTGGGGGAGTGAGCTCACCGCTGAGCCGCTTTTGTCGTTTGTCCCACCGCTGGAGTTTCTAAGGGAGAAGGACGCTCGTAGCTCTGACCCGATGGCTTGGAGCGCTGAGACGAATGGATGAGCGATGTAGCGCACGCGCTGTGTGACACGCACACGTGTAGTGACTGACTAAGAGTAGGAGGCACTCTATTTATTAAACGGCCTTAACAGTTCACACTCGGTAATTAAGATTCCCAGTCAGGACAGCTGGTAGACTGCCTGACTGGCGACATCGAGATGGTGAAGACGGTGACGACGGTTAAGACTCCAGCAGCACGACGGAATCTCGCTCCAAACGACAGCCCCGAGGTCCCCTCCCGGGGGCCCCTCTTATACTGTCAGCATGGCCTGGCTCCGCCCCCCCGCCACGCCCTCTGGTCTATCACGTGACCTGCTGTCAGTCAGGGCTGCTGTAAGCTGCAGATCCCCTTCCCTGCCAGCAGCCAACGCTATGCTGCTTATGTGATCGATTCTATGTCACTACAGATGCACTGTAATACAAAGATCCCCCGTATAGCCTTAACAGACTGTAGGGGCAAGTGCTGTTAGCGAGCACCTATGAAGGCCGGAACGGTACACGAGGGGGTGGGTGGCCAGCACCACGCCCGACCGCCTTTGTCTCCCTAGTGGCGATATTTACACACCACCCCAGGTACTCACTTGAGGCTGAGTCGACCTAGGGGAGGCCCGGGACCGGTTCAGATAATCGTCACTGGTGTTGGTCGTGAGCGGGAATCGAACCTGGGTCGCCAGGTTCATAGCGGTGACACGCGCATGCACTTTGTGACACACTGTGACACACACACAGTGACACACGTGCATGCACTGTGCGACACACTTCGACACGCGCTATGTGAAACTGTGACACGCGCACGCACTGTGTGAAACACGCAGTGACACAGAGACACACGCTGTGTCACCGTGACACGCGCACGCACTGTGCGACACAGTGACACGCACAGTGTGACGCATACACAGTGACACGCACACGCACTGTTAACACGCGTACGTGCCGCGTGTGCGCCGTCCCCAGCCCGTGCCGTTCCAGCAGCCGTTCCCGGGAGGACTTCGGCCCGGCATGCGTCTCGCCGTGCGTGGCGTTGTCAAGCCGACACCCTGGAGGTTAAGCCCCCCCCCCCTTTCCTTCACCCCTCCCTCTCCTTCCCCCTCCCTCCATCCCCTCCCTCCAGCTATTTCCAACACATTGTTGCAAATGCATGTACGTTGAACTTCTTCCGCACCGCACGTAGCTAATCGCAGGTGCGGTTGGCTACGTATGGTGGAAAAGAAGTTGAACATACTGTGCGTTGTTGAAAGCATGAATGCATCGGCTCTGCCTGTCGCTGTGTGTAACGTGAGGTCACGGTGAAGTGACTGTCTGTGTAACGTGGGGTCACAGTGAAGTGACTGTGTAACGTGGGGTCACAGTGAAGTGACTGTGTAACTTGGGGTCACAGTGAAGTGACTATCTGTGTGTAACGTGGGGTCACGGTGAAGTGTCTATGTCTGTGTGTAACGTGGGGTCACGGTGAAGTGTCTATGTCTGTGTGTAACGTGGGGTCACGGTGAAGTGACTGTGTGTAACGTGGGGTCACGAAGTGACTGTGTGTAACGTGGGGTCACGAAGTGACTGTGTGTAACGTGGGGTCACGAAGTGACTGTGTGTAACGTGGGGTCACGAAGTGACTGTGTGTAACGTGGGGTCACGGTGAAGTGACTGTGTGTCCGTGTGTAACGTGGGGTCACGGTGAAGTGTCCGTGTGTAACGTGGGGTCACGGTGAAGTGTGTGTGTAACGTGGGGTCACGGTGAAGTGACTGTGTGTGTAACGTGTGGTCACAGTGAAGTGACTGTCTGTGTGTAACGTGGGATCACAGTGAAGTATCTGTGTGTAACGTGGGGTCACAGTGAAGTGACTGTGTGTCTGTGTGTAACGTGGGGTCACAGTGAAGTGACTGTGTGTCTGTGTGTAACGTGGGGTCACGGTGGAGTGACTCTGCGTCTGTGTGTAACGTGGGGTCACGGTGAAGTGACTCTGCGTCTGTGTGTAACGTGGGGTCACGGTGAAGTGACTGTGTCTGTGTGTAACGTGGGGTCACGGTGAAGTGACTGTGTCTGTGTGTAACGTGGGGTCACGGTGAAGTGACTGTGTGTAACGTGGGGTCACGGTGAAGTGACTGTGTCTGCGTGTAACGTGGGGTCACGGTATCCCACGTGAAGCTGATCCGATACGAGTGGACCTTCAGTGTGGTGAGGCTGTGTCGCTATTCAAGACAGCCGGCCACGTTGCTCGGCTGCGGACCCACTCAGATGAACGGTTGCCGGGACCTGCTAACCCCCGTGTGTGCGTGTGTGTGTACATACGTGCGTGGTGCCGGCCACCGGTGATGATTATCTGAACCGGTCCTCGGCCTCCCCCTCGGTCCACTCTGCTTCAAATGAGTACCTGGTGCGGTGTGCAAGCATCGCCGCCGGAGAAACAAAGGCGGTCGGGCCCCATGCCGGCCACCCACCCCCTCCCTCGTGAAGCCGTTCTGGCCTTCGTAGGCTGCTGCTAACCCGCCAACACCACTGGCTCCAACAGTCTGTTAAAGGCTACGCGGGGATCTTTGTCTCCGTCCAGGTTCATGATTGACCTGGGCTGCGCCCCCGGGAGGGATGTGGGCATGCACATCAGCGTGCGTTGGGACGAGCGACCGAACGTGGTGGTGCGGAACCACATGGTGAACGAAGGCTGGGGCCGCGAGGAGAGGGCCCACCCGGCGTTCCCGTTCCGCCCGGGGCAGCCGTTCGATGTGTGTGGAGCATGCAGCGCTCGCTCACTCACTCGCACGCTCACTCGCACACTCACTCACACGCTTGTTCACTCGCACCCGCACTCACTCCCTCGCTCACACTCTCGTTCACTCATTCACTCACTCGCTCACAAACTCACTCGCTCACAAATTCACTCGTTCACACACTCGCTCAGACACTCACACTCTCACACACTTGTTCACTCATTCCCTCGCTCACACTCTCGTTCACTCACTTGCTCACTCACTCGCACACTCGCACACTCAGACACTCACACGTTCACACGTTTGTTCACTCATCTCGCCCGCCCACACTCATTTGCTCTCACATTAACTCACACACTTGTTCGCTCGCTCACATACTCGCACTCACTCAGTCACTCACTCGGACTTGCTCGCACAATCACTCGCTCACACAATCACTCGCTCGCACAATCACTCGCTCACACAATCACTCGCTTGCACAATCACTCGCTCGCACAATCACTCGCTCGCACAATCACTCGCTCACACTTGCTCACACAATCACTCGCTCACACACTTACACTTGCTCGAACCCATTTGTTCACACACTTACTCACACAATCACTCGCTCGCTAAATCACTCACTCGCTCACACACTCACACTCGCTCAGACACTCGCTCAGACACTCTTTCACTCACTCGCTCACACACTCTCACACTCACTCGCTCGCTTACACAATTACTCGCTTTCACATTCGCTCACGTACTCGCTTGTTCACTCACACTTACGCTCGCTTGCTCACTCGCACTCACTCGCACCAATACCCGCCATTCATCATTAAGTGACGGTGACATCACCACGGCGCTTGTGCCAGGCCAGGTGCACTTTGAGGCCACGTCAAGTGTTGAAGGCTCGCTTGCAGGAGGTCGCGGGACAGACCCAGGTGCCATGGGTTGACTAGGATGACTGGCAGATTCACCAGCTGTGCCCCCTAATGTACACACTGCCTCACTTGCTCACCATATGATGATGATGCTGATACTGCTGCTGCCTCCCGTTGTGGTCAACAGCGGTAGTGTCGTGGTTAGCGCTACGCTGCGCTATGAACCCGTTGGCCTGAGTTCGATAAACTGCTCACGGCCAACACCACCAGTGACGATGATCTGAAAACGGTCCTGGGTCTCCCCAATGTCGACTCGGTCTCAAATGAGTACCTGGTGTGATGTGTTGGCCACCCACCTCCTCGTGTGCCTTCGGCGGCCTTCATAGGCGCTGCTACTCGCTGCTACGCGCTAACAGCACTTGCCCTGACAGTCTGTTAAGGCTACACTGAAGGGGGGGTGGATCTTTGTCTTTGGTCAACAGCTGCTGCTGCTGTGCACGGACGCCGACATGAAGGTGGCCGTGAACGGCGCTCACTTCTTCGAGTTCAAGCACCGCGTGCAGCCCATCTCGCGCATCACGGCCTTCACCATCAGCGGGGACGTCTCGCTGAGCCAAGTGTACCTCACATAGCCGCCCGGCATCCCTCCACCACCATCTCTCGCTCAACACTTCTCTCGCTGAGCCGACCGTGCCTCGTATAGCCGCCCGGCATCCTTCCACATCCATCTCTCGCTCAACACTTCTCTCGCTGAGCCGACTGTGCCTCGCATAGCCGCCCGGCATCCCTCCACCACCATCTCTCGCTCGGCCAAGTCTATCTTGCGTAACCAATTAACGCTCCACTACCACCTCCCACCTCACTCCTCCATCTCACTCAACTCTCCTATCGCTCGGCCAAGTCAGCCCCACCTGAGGCCCACCTCGCTCGGCACCTTGGCACGCTTTACCTGCCGGCCGCCACCGTCGTTCGGCCGGCGATGGAGCGAGCTGACGTGCGGACCCGTCGCAGAGATGATTTGTTCCGCTCGCCAGGGCACGCTGCGGCGATGTCACACGGCGTGCGTGTCGGATCGCTCGCTACTGTGGGTCACCATTAAAGGATCCGAACTCAGGGTTTTGCTTTCGGAAAAGCTTCCGGTGTCTTCGAGAAGCCGAATTAAGTCTCCCCCGTGTGGTTGTTGTAGCGCGAGATGTGGATGTGCAACAAGAACGCCGTGGTGGCGAGATGTTAACTACATCGCCTGGTATACAGGAAGTCGTGGTGTTCGAGACCCCGACTCTGACTCCTGCTGTATATTTGGAGTGTGCCTGGTGGCGAGATGTTAACTACATCGCCTGGTATACAGGAAGTCGTGGTGTTCGAGACCCCGACCCTGACTCCTGTATATTTGGAGTGTGCCTGGTGGTGAGATGTTAACTACATCACTTGGTATACAGGAAGTCGTGGTGTTCGAGACCACGACCCTGACTCCTGCTGTATATTTGGAGTTTGCGGTGTCTTTCTCCCCGTGGTCGCAAGGATTTTTTCTCCGGGTCCTCCGGTTTTTCCCCTCCATTTCTAATCAAATGTCGCACGTTTCGAGCCTTTGGCTGCTGTGATTTTCCACACGACGACGATGATAACTTCGTTGAGCTATCATTACCGATAGCCAGGTCGCGTGTGAAAAAGAGCTATAACAGTGACCTGGTAAAATAATAAAATGCAGCAACAACAACAAAAGATTCCTGGATAATTAAAAGAGAATAAAATCTACCACTCAAAAATCTAAATCGGCCACGCGGTCAAACTGTTGCGAGCACCGCACACTCTCCCACAACGTCCCAGGATCGCTCCGTTCCCTCAGCTCTCGTTTGTGGCAGGCAGATCGTTTCTGAAAAAGAGCTCTATCGAGCGCGGTGGGGCTTACCTGGCAACAATAATAGATTTTTTCAAGTTTACAGCCAGACTCGTACCCACCGCGTCAACGTGTTAGCGCACGTGTGCGTGTTCCTGCCAATGTGAGTGGTTCTCGAGTTAGACTTTTATAGCGTTCACGGAAGTAGGAGAGTGCATAGGGGAGTTATGAGATGCGAGGGAGAAGAGCGGTGCGGATGGCAGTCGAGTGAGATGAGAGGGGAGTGAGGATGGAGAGTGAAGTGAGATGAAAGGGAGGGGAGTGTGGATGGAGAGTGAAGTGAGATGAGAGGGAGGGGAGTGTGGATGGAGAGTGAAGTGAGTTGAGAGAGAGGGGAGTGGGGATGGAGAGTGAAGTGAGATGAGAGAGAGGGGAGTGTGGATGGAGAGTGAAGTGAGATGACAGAGAGGGGAGTGAGGATGGAGAGTGAAGTGAGAAGAGAGAGAGGGGAGTGTGGATGGAGAGTGAAGTGAGTTGAGAGAGAGGAGTGAGGATAGAGAGTGAAGTGAGTTGAGAGGGGAGTGAGGATGGAGAGTGAAGTGAGATGAGAGAGGGGAGTGAGGATGGAGAGTGAAGTGAGTTGAGAGAGAGGGGAGTGAGGATGGAGAGTGAAGTGAGATGAGAGAGAGGGGAGTGAGGATGGAGAGTGAAGTGAGTTGAGAGGGAGGGGAGTGTGGATGGAGAGTGAAGTGAGTTGAGAGGGGAGTGAGATGAGAGAGGGGAGTGAGGATGGAGAGTGAAGTGAGTTGAGAGAGAGGGGAGTGAGGATGGAGAGTGAAGTGAGTTGAGAGAGAGGGGAGTGTGGATGGAGCGTGAAGTGAAATGAGAGGGGGTAGTGCGTGGAGCGGAGTCGAGCGGTAGGAGAGCGCATGGATGGGAGAAGTGGGATAATTTTCCCCGATTCTCTCTGACCCTGTACGTGTGTATCGCTTGGCGTGCTGAACACAACTAACACAAGTCAATGCTGCGTTGGAGGGCGTGCACGCTTGAGTGACAGGCGGACGCCGACGCGGCTGATGAGAAATGCGAACCTGCTGCACTGCCTGACAGCCGAGCCGACATCGGTGCCAATATCAACGACAGGCACGCGGATGGAGGGGGGTTGCCGAGTGGGGGGGAGACGCTGAGGATGGGAAGTCGCCCTCTTTCTCGCATTGTGGCTATGAACCTCGTCAACCCTGGTTCGATTCCCAGCCACGGCTAACATCTGGTGGGCGAGCGATATTTGAACCGGCTCCTGCTGCCCCCTCCACCCACGAACATCATCCACCAAACAACATCGACGCCAGGCACCTGCGTAATAAACGACTTCCACGACAGGTTGATACTTGCGTCCTTTCTTTAGTTAGTGATGACTGCTCGGCACCGCACTTCCTTTCTGGATGGCCACCCTCTCGCTCTGCATGCACGTGCTCACTGCTCCTCCGCGCCCCGCTGATTGACGGCGCGCCGTCAGTGGGGAGAGCTTCGGCCCTCGAGGCTGCCACGTGGCCGGTGGCTCCGCCCCTAACCACGCCCCCCCTCAACCTTCCCGATGGCTCCCGCATGTACCCACGAGCTCCGCCCATTAACTTTGGCCCGGATGGGACCGTGAGCTCTTGATTGGCTATGACTGATGCAGCAGTGCCTATGCAGCCCCTCCGTCGCCCGTCGGTGCGCTCTCTCATAACACCTGCGAGAGCACGGAGCACTCTTGTGGTGGTAAAACCCCACTGGTGGCCGCAGCTGCAACCTGAGGGCGCATGGTTGAGCTGCGATCGAGCAGCGGCACACCCAAAGTTGTGCACCGCTGTTATGGGGAGAGGGCGTACGACATTAATTAGTGGAGGCTCAAGCTCTCCCCTGTCCCATCCTCAGCCGACTCTCTGACCCAACACTCATCGGCTCCGTTGTACGAGGCCTCAGCCTAAGCCAGTTCCGCGTCCATGCAGCTACCTCTGCCAGACGGTCTGTTAGGCAGGCGAGAGCTGCATCTGGGTTACCTGAGAAGGAGACGTATCTCGGTGTCATTGGCGTACTGATGGAACTGTAACCCCATGCCTCCGGACACTTATCTCCCAGCGGCCTAACATAGATATTGAATAAAATTGGAGATAAGACTGACCCCCTGAGGGATATCGTAAGGGGAGGAGTGCCCAGCAGGAGACACGTGGGGACCCCGGGCCACCTGCTGGGATCGTGCCCTGCAGCAAAGATCCAATCCACAGCGGGCGGTGCCTCCAATTCCTGCCAGGTCCCGTAGGTGCTGCAATAAACACCCCACGATCGATTGCAATCAAAGGCCGCCGACTGGTCCAGCATACCAAGGGCTGAAATCAGCCCCTGTCCATCGCCACGAGGAGGTCGTCTGCCACGCAACACCACGATGGTCCCCGAAGCCTCATTGAGTGACATCAAAGAAGCACTCGGTCTCAAGATACGACTTCCAATTGGGAGGAAGCCACCCTTTCTAAATGTTCCCTAAAAAGGGAGCATTGGAGATCCGGCAATAGTTATGCAGAATATCAACATCCAGTCCCGTTTTCTTTAGAAGTGGTCGCACTAAGGCCTTCTTCAGGAGTCCCGGGAGCACTCCTTCTGAAGAGGAAGAGTTGACCAATTCGGTCACCATTGGAATCGCCGGCTCAAAGGCCTCTTTAAGAAGCCAAGAGGGACGACAGGGATCGAAATCACAGGTGGTCCATTTAATCCCCGCAGTAGTCTGGATGAGGTTTGCAGGCAGGACCGATAAAAAAAAATCCTCAAAGACGAGAGGAGCCCTTGGGTCCAAGATAGGATCAGAACTAATTGCTGGGCAGATACCCTTTCTAATCCGATCGATCTTAGCAAAAAAACTGCAGCGCTCTTCAGAAAGAGCGACCTTTATGGACGTACAGTCTTGGGTGAATCAAACCATTGACCATCCTGAACAGCTCAGCAGGGCGGTCCCTCGCCGAGTCAATCATCATGGCAATGGACTTTTTTGATAGCCAGTGCTGGATGATCCTCGTAGCAAAAGTGGCTACACATGCTACAGGCCCCGCACTTTCAAGGGCCCCACGCTAAATGCTTTCAAGCTATCAATTCCGGTTCAGTGATTCTGCATTTGCTCTATTACTATAGTAATATACTGCCTTCAACTTTTATGAACGACTGGGTGTTTAAGGATAGCGATTTGTTGCATTGTCTGGCTGTATAGCAAATGAAAATATACAATTACTTTACTATGCAAGCTTTCGTGACTGCAGGAATTACTCTTAAGTTAAATAATACAATACGACGTTTCGATTGCAACACAAGCAACCGTCATCAGGTAGAACTAAATTTGAGAGACAAAACACAGACACAGATACAGACACACAAGCAGAGAGAGACAACACAGAGACACACACAGAGACCCAATGCCTGTGTCGAGGCCTTAAATAGAGAGGGGGGGGGGCAGAGAGAGAGCAGCTGCTGGAGCAGATAAATTATCATGTCAATGAAAGACCCAACAAGACTGGTACATTCTAGAGAGAGTTGTGTGGAAATCCACCCCGAAGTGACCGAGGGAGAGAAAGAGCGAATGGACCTATGAGAGCCTGGTAAATTTTAGAGAGAGAATGGAAACAAGGGGAACAAACCGCGTAAAAAGCCCAGAAGAAGACAACAACGACTTGGCTGTGGGGGCAGGGAACCCTGCGGAGGACACCGAGGCACTGCCGTCCGCTCAACCACTGGCCCAGCCACCGATCGTCTCACCTGCCGCGGGCGACGCATTCCAGGCTGCGCACTCCCGTCTCGCCCAGCTGCTCCATGCCGCGGCCTCAATCCTCGAAGAAATCGACCGAGGCGGGACACCGCTGGAGGCAGCGGGCGGAGCGAAGCGGTCACCAACGGCCATTCCCGTCAGCGGGCCGAGCGCACATTGTTCGCTGCGTGCCGCCAGGGGCATTCACGCTCACCTGCTGCTCCATCATGACTCCACGATCGCCGCCTGCGCTTCGACGTCGGAGCCCGCCTGCACGGAAGATGGGTCCTCATCCGACCAGGCCTTCGTGATGACCCGACGTCCGGGGTGGAGGTCGTCCGACCGCACCGGGCACCGAAACGACCATCAGCGGGGACGGCTTCCTCCCCGCGCTGAGGTTACTTGCTTCAACTGTGGCCTACGGGGCCACGTGTCATCCGACTGCCGGGCGCCCCGACGTCGCACCTCCGGACCCCGGGGCCAGGACCAAAGGACGTCCACGGCTTCACGACACACTCAGGCGAGTCGCGA